TCCAGTGTCACACATGTAGAGGGGCTTCGGTAGCTGGTATGTCCTCAAAGCCCCGGAATGCTCTCATAGGCTAAACCGATCCCGTACCGGGTGCATGCTCTGCGATCTCATTTCTCTGATGCATTTCAAAGAATCTATCAGAATACGGAGTTGACATTTCTGATAAACGAATAGCGTTAAGAGCGATCAGATTCTCCGACCGGGAATTATTTAGCGTGAGAGAGAAAGAGGTCATATGAACTGCACAGGGCTAGAAGTGCGTCTCACGGAAATCTTGGGTTGCCGATCTGACGGAAACACGTGCTATTCGGTCTCATCTGCGGCAACGATGCTTTTCCACGGTCTGCCTGGAGGCGAGATGCATGGTGTTCTGGAAGAAATGGAGCGGAGAGGAAAGAGCGACTCGGCGACTATCAGCTCGGCTATAGATATGGGGGAAACAGAGACGGTAGGAGAAAGCCATGCCTCTCGCTCCAGGCGCTTGCTTGGAAATGATAACAGCCTATTTTAACTGAACCGTTATTCAAACAGTGCTATATAGAGGCCCAAAGACGGGATTTTCGACCTTGTCCATTTAAACAAACTTCAAACTTCTTCGAAGCCAAAATCATAGGCCTGGTCTCCAACGCATTGCTTGTGAATCTTTTGCCATGGGTGGATTGCAAATTGTTATAAATCTATGATAGGCTATTCTACTATAGGCCTTTCAGTTTTTAATGGGGTACATTTCTGTTTAATTTCAACTGATTATTCGATAGAAATGGTGAAATATCAATGCATTGGCGAGCAAGAAAATCCCTGTTCGGTTTTGCACAGATTGCATTTATAGGAAATTCCTATTTTACAAATCCTTATGCAGGGCTGCTCAACTTTAAGAGATGAGAAATTCACCATATAAAAATGCATTTCTCTTTTCATAACATTTGAGTGAGTTAATTATGGTAAAATAATTTTCAGGGGCTATAATTGAACTTAAATAAATTGACAATGTTTTGTGCCGTATGATAACCAACAAAAAAGAGACTATGTCGAACCTTACGGTTAATTCCTTTGCATTAAAATTACTTCTTATCAGTTTCTTTGGCAACAATGAACTTTGAATGCTTAAAACTATTTTAACATTTCTAACACTGCCATTTTTTAACGGTGGCAAACCCAAAATTACAAATAAAGTAATTATTAAGAACAAAATCATATATTTATTAGGCTACTCATTTTTATTATTACGAGTATGTATCCAATGTGTATTTAAGGCCACACAACACGCCGAACGTAAACATAATAAAACGAGCGCACTCTTTGATTAATTTGTTTACACAATTTTCACATTTTTACAAAAGCTTGTTAATTAAATAAAATAAAAACATGTAAGCATGCATAATCAATTCTTGCGGTTATTTCTTTTTTAAGCGTGGTTTCCCGTTGTAACTGGAAACATTAAAAACTTATCAATGGTGAATACACTCCTATTCTGAATTTGATCTCACGCTCCTCCCATTCTGTACACTAGTAATTCCTCAATCTTTGGACATTTTTAATCAGAAAATGCGTAAAATAGCCAAGTGTTTACAGAGCACTTTAGATACACACTATGCATATTTTATCTTTTACCATACTGCTGTTAAATGATTTGTAAAGCATAAGAGATAATGTTGTCGTGTGATTGTGTGTTTGTGCAGAACATGCCTTCCATGAGCGGGGACCGGCTGGCTCTGTGCGCGGGCTGCGGAGGAAAGATCTCGGATCGCTATTACCTGCTCGCCGTGGACAAGCAGTGGCACATGCGCTGTCTGAAGTGCTGCGAGTGTAAACTCAATCTGGAGTCTGAGCTCACCTGCTTCAGCAAAGACGGAAGCATCTACTGCAAAGAAGATTATTACAGGTGAGCAACTCACATCCTTCGCTTTACCTTGTGGATAAATAATTAAAAGGCTAAACATGTAGTAGCAAATTACTTAGCCTACTTTTTGCCTGTAAACTATATTTTTGTGTGTGAGACGTGGTTTCGTCATTAGCCTATAAAATGCAAAACCCCAGACAAGGCGTAACTAATTTTATTGCATAGCTTACTTTTTTTTTTTTGTAGATGATATTGCTTGTAAACACGTCGTTCGTTTAAATTAATTACTAAAATACAGAAAGTACTTATATTAGCCTCGAGGCATGATTTTTGCCTAAAATTGAACGTTTTTGTTTAAATTAACGAAACATCCTGTATAGCAAAATGCCATTTTTTTGTCTAGATATTGCTACTTGTGAAGACGTCATGATGCAATTTAATATTTCGTTCAATTCAATAATTCAGAAACTACTAGCATATAGGCTAACGTAAAAAAAAAAAAAATCCGAGTTGTGTCTGCGTATATTTTGCAGTGTAAAGTGATTTTGAACGTCATTATAAAACAAAACAAAAATGCCAAGACGATTTACCTCAAGAGCTTGATCTTAACATTATCTTTGTTGGAAAAAAGAAAGCAGCAAATCCAAAAGCGCCACTGTGTGATGTTTGGATGATATTTATCTGACCGTGCACTGATTCTGTATGTCATTGTACAATTTAATAATCAGAGGGAGGCGAGAGGCCTATTAAGATAATCATATAAGTGAAGGCTTTACTCATTTCCACGATCAAATTAGGCTCCAGCACACGTCGATCTAAATTGTGGGTTATTTAACAATTATTTATTGGCGAGACTGAATTCCACTGCACGAGTTAACTCTATTTGTTCATGCATCCTGCTGTTTGAGGCCTCTCCTCAACATGTATTTCAGATGAAATAATTTACAAATTACAATTCCTCCAAAGGTTATTATGAAAAGCAGCGCATTTAATGTCAGGCTGGTGAGTGGTGGACTCACCTTCTGGTTGAAGTGATCTGAAAGGTCACAGCTGCTCTATTCTCCCGCAGAAGGTTTTCGGTACAGAGATGTGCCCGGTGCCACCTCGGGATCTCGGCCTCGGAAATGGTCATGAGGGCCAGGGATTTGGTGTACCACTTGAACTGTTTCACCTGCACGACTTGCAACAAAATGCTGACGACTGGGGACCACTTCGGCATGAAAGACAGTCTGGTGTACTGCAGGCTACACTTTGAAACGCTCATCCAGGGAGACTTCCCCACGCATTTCAATCACACGGATGTAGCGTCTAATAAAGGACTGGGCAGCACGGGCCCTCTAGGACTGTCTTATTATAACGGCGTGAACACGGTGCAGAAGGGCCGGCCCCGAAAGAGGAAGAGCCCTGGGCCCGGAGCGGACTTGGCTGCTTATAATGCAGGTGAGAGTATTATTGGCGTTTTGCTGTTGCTGGTTAACTGCTATAGTTTTATTCCTTGCATTCGTTTTTCATTTTTATTTGGCACGAGGTGCAAGCCGATTTCCTATCTGATGTTGCACAACTTTTTAAGAGCGCGTAGTAATGCCCACTTACTGCGATTTCGGGGAATTTCCAGGTTTATAAAACTTTTTGGGGTGCACTAGTCTACCTAACGAAATCGTTTCAGTGCAAGACAAAGAAAGAAACCTGGCCAACTGCATGATGATGAATTTACAAGGCCTATACAGTCAAATGTCGTTTCAACAATAGGCTACTATTAGCTAACTATACCGACTGTAAATAATTGTATTGTTATAATTGCAACCCTGCACGTGCAATAAATAAACTGCTTTCTAACCAGGCGGGAAATATTTAAAATAGCATTTCTGAATGCAGTCCTCGTTTGGGAAAAAGAATCTATATATTTAAACGGCAATATTTCGTTGCTATTGTTTTGTTTTATTAGACTTTGTCATCCTAATTCGTTTGAGAAGATATCTTGCGTTTATAAAGCACGTGGTGGTGTTTTTATGAAAGCCCGCAATCCTTAATTAGCAATATAGCCTAGTAGCCTAATTCACTAAACGCTTCATATCGAATTTTTCCGTGTAGGCACATTTTAAATACAAAAATTTTGCCCAAGAAACGACAAATACAAGTTCACCTCTTTACTACGTAAAAGGAAAAAATGCGCCACTTTTAAGACAATCGACACACATCACAGATTCTACTTAAGCACTCGAGCTTGTGCTGAACAATTTAGAACAACGTGACTTGTTCGCTCGGGCATTTCGGGCCCCTCAGCGGGGCATTTGGGCCCCTGCTTGAGGACCAAACAGAGGAATGATGACGACTACAGAGACTGACAAGTGGAAAATGGCTTAGATGCTAGTCGAGACCTCCAGAAGATTAAATACAAGTGAAAGAAAGAAAGAAAGAAAGAAAGAAAGAAAGAAAGAAAGAAAGAAAGAAAGAAAGACTTCAGGTTTTCAAAGCAAATTCAGACGAATTCATTTATGGGTTTTGCTCTACAAAAAGTTGAATCAAATACGAGTCGACGATGTCCTTTTTCTTCACGAATATTCAAAATATACTGGCATAAAGCAATATACAAAATTAAGGAACGAAATTATAATAAAACGTATTTTAAAAATAAATAAATAAATGTAGAATCGTTTATTAGTCAGATTGTGTCCTGGTCTATATCGCATGTTATTATTTAAGACTACAACTAGTCTATAAAATACAAGTTTAACAGGAGTTTTCCTTATATATAAAAACTAAAAATGTGTAGGCTAAATGATGTTTTCTTTATCACTTTAAACTCAAACACTCTGGTTGCTTTGTAAATCTTGTTGTCTAGGCATCGTTAATTGAATTTGGCAAAATGATCACAAAAATTGTGGTCTTGTTTGGTGTAAGAATAACCTGCTTGTGAGGAATTGTTAAAGGAAAGTCAAAATGAAAGTTTTTGAAATCAGATCAACCGCTTTGACAACACAGGAGTTAACCAGAGTGAGTGAACTTAGCTGTCTCTCTGACACAGTCAGATCATTGCTGCCCCCATCAGCTCACACTTTAAACAACAGCACGAATACAAGGACAGCAGATCAAACCCTGAGAAATAAGAACAAAAAGACAGCTTTTTAGTATTGCAATACTACAGTTACAATGTGCACATAAATAATTCTGTGTTCAGTAAAGATAACTGTTGTAAAGGTGACAGTATTTCTCAATGGCCATATTTATATCAGGAGGAAACATTTGTTCGCCATGTGCGGCGTTGTAAAGCATTCAAGGTTAATTATCTGAAGTGTTGATCAGACCATTTTCAATGACTAATATTTGTAGTTGTCAGAGAAAACATAATTCTGAACTGTCATGCGTCTAGCAACACATAAACTTCTGCCAAGAATTTGGAACTGGCGCAAACACATTTCTGACACATTCAGACGGGCCTATCTACTAAACACTTGTGTCCAAAGATGGATAGTGTGGGCTTTTTCCACCATCAAATCCTAGACATCATAAAAACAGAAAACAAAGATAGAGCCATATGTGGGGGGTGGGGTTGCTATACCCACCAGTGTTGATTTTTACATTAAAAAGTGAGATAAATTATAATGCAGACTTGCACGCTTCAAAACATTTGCATTTCGAATCAAATGTGTTTTATAATAAAGATAAAAAGAGCATGATGTAAGACTACAGCATAATGCAGATTATTATGCATGCAGTAAGTTGCAAACACAGCAACATGATGGTGCTGGCTGCTTTATCTGGTCAGATTCAAGACTAAACACACTTGTGCAATCGAAGAACCCTCATTCTCATCATCAGATCCAGTGTATTTATTGTGAAGGAGCTTCAGTTTAGGCTTTCTGCACTTATTCAAAGTAGAAGCCCACTACTAAAAAACTCGTCTAGTTTTAATACTGTGGTTCAGCTATTGAAATGTTTGGACTAGAACACTTTGGGATCAATATCAGGAGCACAGCTAATCGATTGTCTGTTTTTTTTATCCAGCTTTGAGCTGCAATGAGAATGATGGCGATCCGATGGACAGAGACTCACAGTACAGCTCCAGCCAGAAGACAAAGCGCATGAGAACGTCATTTAAACACCATCAGCTGAGGACCATGAAGTCGTATTTTGCCATCAACCACAATCCTGACGCCAAGGATCTGAAACAGCTGGCCCAGAAAACAGGTCTCACCAAGCGCGTCCTACAGGTCAGAAATCAGTTGTTTTGGCTTCAGTAATGGGCTGTACAATACACACTGTAAAACTAAATACGCTTTTTCTAATCAAAAAAATTGTGGCAACAGATTACAAGCAATATTATTAATTAAATTGAACAAATTAGAATTGAGTAATAATTAATCAAATTAATTCCTTAAAAGTTAACCATTTAAAATGAGCACCAAAAAATATCTGAACAAGATTAATTAAGAACTCTTTTTTTTATATTTATATTTTAACATTGAAGACACCAGATGTTAAGCAGAATCACTGAAGGAGAACACCGTAATTTTAAAACAAGCCTAAATCAAACACTGATCACCACAATGGTGACTTAAATGAACGTTTTTAAGTTTTACTCATTTTAAATGGTTAACTTTTAAGGACTACATTTGATTATTACTCAATTCTAATGTGTTAAATTGAATAAATAATATTGCTTGTAATCTCTTGCCAAAATTGTTTCGATTAGATAAAGCGCATTAATTTTTACAGTGCGTTTAATCAAATTCATTCACTTCAGCAACAAATTACTAGAGGAATGAAGATTGTGATCGAAAGTAAATAGAAAGAACGAAAGAATTAAAAAATGAGCTCGTACCCTCGTCTCGGTTTGCAGGTCTGGTTCCAGAACGCTCGGGCCAAGTTCAGACGAAACCTCCTGCGTCAGGAGAACACGGGTGTGGACAAGGCTTCGGACGGGTCGACCATGCCCGGAGGAACACCGTCCGGACCCGCCTCGGAGATCTCCAACGCCTCCATGAGTCCGTCCAGCACCCCTACCACCCTCACAGACCTGACCAACCCCACGATGCCCACCGTCACCTCCGTACTGACCTCTGTGCCGGGCAGCCTGGACGTTCACGAGTGCCGGAGTCCATCGCAGAGCACCTTAACCAGCCTCTTCTGATGCTCACATTTGCACAGAGACACGTCTGCATCCTCAGAAGAACATTCACGGGTGCGGCGTCTCAACAGCCATCGAAATCGGAAACCGCGCTCTCGTTCGCATACTACATTTGTCTGATACGTAAACCAATCTACAGATGTGGACAATCCAGACTTTACGAATGGAGAAAAATCAAGACTCAGAAACTCTTTAAGAGCGTTGCATCTTCTGGCATCTGGATCTGTTGATAATAGTCTTTGAAAGGACTGATTTGCATTTTTACTTCTCCATGCGTTTCCCCCAACCATGTTTACAGAGAGAGACTGAGCTGCAGCTTACGGGAAACTCATTTGTTTGTTATTTATGTTCATGCACAGAGGGGTCAGTGTGAGGAAACTGGATTATAATGTGAATAATTACGAGATGAGAACAGCGACACTTAGCCTGACTGTCACGTGCCTTATCCTGCAGTGTAGTCACTGAAGCCCCAACCAACTACATCGGAAAATGTGTATTTTAATTTGTCGGATGGTTGAGTAAATCTCATGCACAGACACACACACACATGCATACAGAGGAAGAACTGATCATTTACTCTCATTCCAACATATTACCTCACTCAGAAATCACTGGATCTGATAGTAGTACGTATGAAACCTGAGAACACAATCTCACGAGACGACAAACGCACTGGGAGGGAAAATGGCCGCGGAGAAGACAAACCTTGATCGGAGGAGCGTCATCACAAACAAACACTGATTTATGGAATGAAACACTTTTTTTTCCCCCTCATTCGGTTAGGTGATTTTTTTCTTCTCAACCATTAAGATGTGACAGTGTTGGAGACAGGGTAAATGTTTCCATGGTAACCAGAGGCTGCTTGTTGAAATGCTGTACAGTTTTGACAGATTATTGAGAAATTTCGAGTCCACTCCCTGCAGTCTCCCCTTTGATGTAAATCTTCAGTTCTGTAAAAAAATATTAAAAAAAAAATTGAATCACTATTTTTTTTTTCGTGGTCCTCATTATTTCACCAATTTCAAAGCATTTAACAGATCTATGGAAAGACGGCAATGTACAGTAAAATACAGTCAAACTGGACATTAATAGATTAAGATGAGGCCAGTGTTGTCATGGTAATTCATGACTGATAATCTTAAAGCATCTCGTCACACACACACACACTACTTGCATTTCAACAAACATAAGTCAATTCATTAATATTAAGTTCAAAAACACAGATCTTTCTAAGCAAAGCTTTTTGCAGCTTGGGTCCTGAACAGTATTTGGCTTTATCACATGAATAATCTGAGATGATACGAAAATAGCTTTTTAAAACCGAGGATTTATAGTAATATTAGATGCAAAATAATTTAAATGAACTTGCATCGTATTAAACGACAAGAAATGCACTGAAAATGTAACGCAAATCCTGTGTTATTGAGTTGTTGGTTTGGTTTTATATGTTCTTGTACACTGTGTGTGTGTGTGTGTTACCTCTGAGCTGAAATCCTCTTGTGACGAGAAACCTGGAATTTATTAAGATAATTATTTTTAAATGGTTGAACAGTGGAGCATTTGGAATTGAACTTTATTACAGCCCATGTGAAATATATGGTCACCCAGTCATACATACCTGGATGTTTGGCACTCGCCGACATCCGCTGAAGTGAAGCAGAAACGCAGCGGCGCTCCCGTTTTCACGCACATCAACACGTCGGTCTCGACACACGATGTTTCCCAGTGCAAACAAGGCCTTCAGTGAACATTAGGTCAGTGACTCTCCACGTCTCCGGTTTCTCTCGCCGCTGTTTGTTGAAGTGAGTGTGACTGGGGTTGTGGAGTGGTCTGGCGTGATGCCCGCCGCTCGGGCTCCTGGAGGGCTGGCGCCCGGGGTTGTAATGGGCTTATGATGGGTGCCAAAGCCAGCCAGCCACCGTGGAAGCCAATGTGGTGCCCAGATGTACAACGCATTTCCACAAAAAGCCACACGATGAAGGCTTTAATAGAGAGAGTCTGCTATTTAAAACACACTACAGCCCTTTTGGAAATAGCTGGTCCAATAAACTTTAATATGGAATCTTATGACTGTGCAGAATCCGAGGCTCATCACATCGGTTTGGGTGTTTGTGACGTGCCCCATACCCAGCGAAGACTTTAAGACTTTGCTCAGTGTGCATATGTTATGTTGTGGCGACAGATCTTTTCCGAAAGCTTGTTTTCTTTGTGCTCGAGCCTGCCTGGATCCGACCTTGCCGACCGAGTCTTTCAATTAGAAATGCATAAGGATTGGCTCTAAACAATCACTGAGATTAGAGGTTAAATAGCAGACAAGTGCACTATGCCAATCTCTAATTGTGTTTGCTTGGAAAATCTTACAATAAAAGAACTGAAAATACACTTAAAACTAGGGTAACGCTTTACGAGGCTCCATTTGTTAACAGGAACTGACAATGAAAATTCTTCTAAAGCATGTATTAATCTTAATTTCAGCTTTTACTAACACGTTATTAAAATCAGAAGTAGTATTTGTTAATATTTAATGGACCCAAGTTGATACGAACACACACATACATACATATATATATATATATATACACACACACTCTCTTGATATCTCCTTATATCTATCTATTTATCTATATATGAAGAGTTCAGATGCAAAAGCCTCTAAGTGCCATTTGAAATTTTCTTCTAAAATGACCATTTTTATCAAGCTTGTATATTTAAGTTCAGTAATTTCACTTAAATAATGAAGATTACCTATTAATTGTCATTTAAGTGAAATTACTGAACTTAAATATGCAAGCTTGATAAAAATGGTCATTTTAGAAGAAAATTTTAAATGGCATTTAGAGGCTTTTGCATCTGAACTCTTCATATATAGGGCAATTATCTGATCTATACATAATCTTTATACATTTCTAGATTTTAGTAGGCATATTTATTAGGCCTATATACATTTTATATGGTACTTGCTATTGCTATGGGAAATGCCCCCAAAAACATGGTAATAATAACTGTAGGGGTTGCTTATTTGAGAAAAAGAATAATTACAGCATGTATATGTAGCTCTGTAGAAGCAGCAATGCTTTTAGGACTCGCTCGCTGCATCGCTCATCTTTGCCCAGGGCTAAGGATGGTCATTGCCTTTGGCTACGAAACCCTCAGCCCTTGGCAAAGCAACAGTCCACCCCTGTTCAGAGCAGACTGACTTCAGTCATCAACAAACCTAGCCCTGGTCTGGGTCAGGCTTCGCACAGATCGGCTACAAGCTGCATTTAACCGTCCTCATGTAGCTGCTGGCAGAAGTACTCGCTGTTGATTAAGAGCTTAAGCCGATCTCAGATTCGCTAAAAATAAATTCCAAGTAAATCTTAGTTCCTGAAATAGCTACTTACCCAAGGGTGCGTTTACAAAAAGTATCGTTAGTCAACTATGGTCCCAAGTTCCGTCGTTATCATAGTAGTTCAACGAGTTGGTCTTTCCCGAAACATCGCTACAACAGCTCTGGACCTGTGGTTAGAAGCAGAGTTTCTTGCTTTTATGACACGTGAACTTAATAAATCCTTATCTTGAGCAAAATTAGCAAGCTGACATTCAGTACAATTTATTTCGAATATATACAAATGTCACTTACGTATTTTATTTAAAGAGATTGAATCTGTAAATGAAGCAAAAAAAAAAAAACGGAGAAAAATTATAGACGTCCGTAGTTTATAGCAAAAAAAACAAAAAACATTAATGGCATTGATTCGAACTCAAAAGGATTAATTAAAAGAACGTGCATGAAATCGTAGTGGTCTACACTCTTGAAACCAACACGGAAGTGACTTAAACTGCACTTCATCCACTGGCCACTAGAGACCGGCTCCAAAAGATAGTCAATCCCATAGATCCCCATGTTACAATGCCCAACTTTACAGCAGAAAACTGAGGGGGTTGGACAACTCATCCATTTAAATTATATTAAGCCTTAAAGGTTTGCATAATTAAGGGTGTGGCTGCTTGAGTCAAGTCACATTTATTTATATAGCGCTTTTAACCATACAGATTGGGGCCGTTTACACCTGGCCACTTCATGCATTTTGTGTAATCGGATCCGATTGCGAAAAGACAAGGTGTAAATGCCCTCCGAAACGGATTTGAATCCGATCGCTAAAACCACTTGAGGTGTTCTGGAGACGAAACTCGACAAGTGTAAATGCATCTGGTTGCTGAAATCACAAATGTAAATTTTACTACTCCCAAAAATAGTAAAAACATAAACGTGTGAGAGCGTGTTATAGGCCATATGTCATGTTATTTTAGTCAGATATGACGACGCAACTGCGACACGCACACATTATGGGTTGGACAACAAATTTGCAACACAGTTTCAGGAAACAGTCGCTAGTTGATTTCTTCAACAATGCATCATACTGTGGTAATTTAGGCCAACGTTGTACGGACACGCAACACTAAATAGCAATTTAGGTACTATATGTAATGGTTGCACAATCTTCATCCTTCCATGTATCAATTGCTGTGAAGGCAACCGCAACACCAAGGACAATAATTATATAATTTCAATATGAGAATAGTTAAGTCCAAACCACAAACGACACAGAGGAGTGATATAGCTAGAATCAATTAGACAGCCAATCAGAATCCATCCTGCTTAAAAGAACTCGAAGTTGCACATAAAGCTGAAGTTGCGATAGCCTTTTCTTCCCTATTGTGACGTAAATACAAGTGACATGGCTTCTCGAACAAGAACAAATGTAGTGCGGGGCTTGATTTTGTTTGAGGAATTGATTGTGGTTTGCGTTTAGTGGATCTCATGTGAGTGACAGGTTGCCCCGCCCTCACCTGAGTAAACAAGTCATCATTGGTCTGAATATATAAATTTATGCTCATAAGATTATTGCACTTTACCTTGTAGCGAAATGCTTATCAAGGCTTTGATAGTCTGTCACATGTGCTTCACTATTTGTGAGTTGCCGCCCATGTCGAGGTTCTGAATCCCTCATATCGGGCTGATGTGTGGTGGGTATTTTTTTACCTGTCTGTCTCTCCACTGCTGCGGCTCCTTCAACTTTAACATGAGCTGCATGCGCTCTGGCCGGACTGGTGGGCATCATTAAACAGACAGCATTCATATTTTCTCTGCCAGTCATTCTCCATTCTCCGAGGGGAGTCCGCAGCGGCGAAACGCTTTCATCCGCAGAACACGGCACCACCTTGACTCGGGCACTCACAACATACAACACGCCAGAACAAGCTGACCTGCAGCCCAGCGGCTGGGAAACACACTCATTTATTTTTTTCATGTTTTATGGGGTCTTTCCAAAGACATACCGATTTTATATCCCCTCCCCTCACACTAAGGGCTGGTTCACATAGAACGCGCTTTTGCTGATAAAATCATGAGACGCAGGTCAGTGGAACGAAAAACACCTTCTGCGTGAACTACCCATCACAGAAAACTTTCTGCATTTACGATTATATATATATATATATATATAAACTTAACTTACAATGATTTATAAGCCGTTTTCCTCATGGGGTCCAAAATATGACCCAACAAGGACAAGCCTTTCGTACACTCTTAGAAGAAAAGGTTCTATTTAGAACCTTTAAAGGTTCTATCAGTGCTACGTATTTGGAACCCCTAAAAGGTTCTATACACTCTTAAAAAAGGGTTCCTCTGGGTTCTATATAGAACCCTGGGGTTCCATACTTGGCCAATAGAACCTTTTACCAAAAAAAAATGGTTCTATATAGAACCATTTTGGAGTTTCATATATGAAGCGGGGGATGGAACTATTTCTGGTTCTAAATAGAACCATTTCTTCTAAGAGTGTAGATTGACACGTTTGGTCCCCAGAATGTAGGGTTGACAAGGCACCGGTGTGGGGCACACACACACACACTGATGTCAACCACTAGCACCGGCATTCTGAGCACTTGCATTATGTCAATTATTGAAGGATGTTCTCATGATATATTTATCATGTGGTGA